CCCTGGGCCCTGGGCAGGAGCTCAGTCTAAAACAGTGGCCTCTGCTAGATTTCGTTCAACGCCAAAAATAGAGCATTTGTTACACAATGCTCTATTACATTGTTACACAATGCTCTATTACAAGGACGTCCCTGCCCTTGCCAGCGTCCCCTGTGGCTCTGCGCGGTGCTCAGGGTCCAGTTCAGCTTCCTGGCCTTGGCTTTGGAAGCCAGGAGCCCTCCCTGGTCTGGGGCGGCTTCCTCTCAGACAGACCCCGCCAGCCCCAGCCGGGTTCCCCAGTCTCATTTTCCCTCCCGAGAGGCTCTGGCACCTGGAGAGGAAGCTCCCCACGTCTGCTCCTCCTGCTGCTCCCACGCGCCCTCCCTCCTCCGAGGCCCCTCCCTCCGCCCCCACTTCATCCCCGTCCTGTGCAGCTTCGTGGGGGACCTGCCGCCACCTCCCCAACTGAGTAACTAGTGAGAACTAAGCTCTGACTTTTTGTCTTGCCCAAATTCCTTTCTAAGGGGTCTGGGGAGTCATGCCCTACAAACCACAAATTCTCATCAGACAAATTTTTTTGTTTGTGTTTTGTTTCTGAGATGGAATCTCGCTCTGTCGACAAAACTGGAGCTGCAATGGCATAATCTCGGCTCACTGCAACCTCCGCCTCCCAAGTTCAAGTGATTCTCCTGGGCCTCCCGAGTAGCTGGCATTACAGGCGCCTGCCACCTCGCCCGGCTAATTTTTTGTATTTTTAGTAGAGATGGGGTTTCTCCATTGTTATAAGTAAAATTTCAATGCCGCAAAAGAAATAGCACTTGAAGATAAATCCTCTGAGCAAGGCAGTTGACTTCTACAGAAGGGTGTGGCGCACGGGTGGAGCAGTGGTGACTGGACGTTTGGACAGGGGGAGAGGAACTTACTCCCTACCGCTGCGTCCAGGCTCAGACGGCACAAGCTAGACGACGCCCGGGTGGTGATGATTTTCAGGAGAGCAGGGGTGCTAGCTGGAGTGGCAGGGTGGGTGGTTTGGCGGGAAGGACAGGTTACGGGTGGGTCAGAGCAGGTAGCCAGGGGTGACCTAGGTCAAAGCAGGTGACCGGAGCAGGTGACTGGAGCAGGATGGAGCTGGGGGGGCTGGGGAACAGGTGTAAGCCACTGATTTGAACTGGTGGAGAAGGTTGTTTACTGAAATACAAGGAAAGTAAACTTTAAAATGGAGGACGAATAACTGAACACAGTGACATTCTGACTCTTTCAGGAGAACTTAGAGCTCATCGTATGCATTACCATGTTGGGCAGGCTGGTCTCCAACGCTACCTCGGCCTCCCCAAGGGCTGGGATTACAGGCGTGAGCCCCTGTGCCCGGCCCAGAGGGGTTTTATTTAATCCTGTATATCGGCCGGGCGCGGTGGCTCAAGCCTGTAATCCCAGCACTTTGGGAGGCCGAGGCAGGTGGATCACGAGGTCGAAATATCGAGACCATCCTGGTCAACGTGGTGAAACCCTGTCTCTACTAAAAATACAAAAAATTAGCTGGGCATGGTGGCGCGTGCCTGTAATCCCAGCTACTCAGGAGGCTGAGGCAGGAGAATTGCCTGAACCCAGGAGGCGGAAGTTGCAGTGAACTGAGATCGCATCATTGCACTCCAGCCTGGGTAACGAGCGAAACTCCGTCTCAAAAAAAAATCCTGTATATCGTGACTTACTTTTCAGTCTGACTCTGGCAAAACAAGGGAAAAAATAAATATGTCTTATCCCAAAATATATTCCTTGCTAGACCTTGAAATCTCCCTGCAAAATCTCTTGTGGGAAAAATTCACGTTCTGTGGAGAATCCCCTCCCCCCTGCTTTTCGCTCCTCTCTTTCCAGATTCAGGAGACAATCAACTGAAATCCAGGCAACGTTTGAGGTTTGATAAGAAACCTTTTACAACCTGCTCTGTCTCTGAAGTCCACTCTCTGAGCTATTCCTCTGCACAGTGAAACTTGGTCTTCACAATCCTTTATCTTAACCTGAACATGCCTTTCCATTGAGCCCGGGTCTTCAGATAAGCGCAACCAATTGTCAACCAGAAAATGTTTAAATTTACCTGTAGCCTGGAAATGCCTCCCGCCAACCCAGGTTCCTGCCGCTTTGAATTGTCCACCTGCCAGAACCAAGCCAGTGTGTTTCTTAAATGTATCTGAGTGATGTCTCCTGCCTCCCTGAAAGATATAGAACCAAGCTGTACCCCGACCACCTTGGGCACATGTTCTCAGGACCTCCTGAGGGCTGTGTCACGGGCCATGGTCACTCATATTTGGCTCAGAGCCGTGTGTGCTCACTTCTGCCCACATCCTAGCCTCACGGAGCCCCGACTCTGCGGCTGCCGCGTGCGGCTCTCCACAGGGACACTTTGGAAACAGGGCAGGACGAGCACCAGGTCCCCTGTGTCTCTGCCTGAGTCACTACAGTCCTTAAAACAGAAACAACCATAGTCCTTGCCTTTTCTTGGGCCGAGGAGGACACCTGCCAGGGTTAGTGACCGTGCTTCTGGGGTCTGTAACCAGATGCCCCCCTACACCCAGACTCGCATGTGACTCTGCTTCAGTGTGACTTCTGCGTGAGTGTGATGTGATTTCACACACACTGAGCCCCCTGTATTCCAGCCGTGGGATGAGACCGTGGGCAGCCATATTGCAGAACCTCTCCTGAGAGCGCCTGGGCTGGAGGCCTCAGGCTGTGGTCCTCAGTGAGACTGCTGAAGAAGACAAACTTTAATTCTTTAAAAGGCTGATTTATTTTCTTTAATTGACACAAGTATTGGGACAAAGGACAAGATGGTTTTCCCACCTCCCCGACGTGCCCTGCCAAATCACTTTCCAGGCAAACTTTACCAATTTATATTCTCATCCCTGCTTGAAGGAGAGTCTTTAATCTCACACTCATTCTCACTGTGCATTTTAATTATAAAAAGTCTTTGCTAATTGAAGGGTTAGCATTTCATCCTTACCATCTTCAAGTATGTTGTGTGTAAAATTTTTCTTTTTGGACCTGCAAAGAAAAAATCAGTTCTGGGACAAAGCATCTCTCAGCGAAGCAATTCCTTTTACTTCCTGCAGAAAGGGGACCCCCGTTAGCAATCTTGCCATGAGAGTACAGAGAACAAAGGAAAGCAGACACATTCATCCCTTATGCATCTGGGGTCGTCCTCACTGCTGTGTCTGATCCCCATTGGCGGGAGCCAGACCTCACAATCTGAGCTAAAACCTGATTGGCTAACAACTTAAAACTTTCTAAACAGGGAAAAGCAGTGGAGAACAAAAGGAAGTCCCAGTAAGGAAGGTCACAGGCTGTGAGCTGGGACAGGCCTGAGCGCACGTCCGGCCCAGGTATCTTGGTTAAAGCACAAGGACACAGAATGTCCTGCGTGCCCGTGAGCATGTCTAACAGCTACATAGGACAGGGCTTCACAAAGAGCTGCTAGCAAAAAGCAAGACGGCTTTGAAGAAGGTGTTTAAAACAAACTATTATTTTTAACACTTACGAATTTTTCTTAAACAAAAAAAACTTAAATAAAAAAATTCTCTGCCTTAGTACAACTCTAGCCATAAATGCAAGGAGACAAGAAATGAAGACCATAAGCTGTGAGTGACCTACACACTGTCACAGAGGAGGCAGGGTGGAGCTAAAGGAAACTTGGAAGAGGAACTTTTCTACTTCCCACAAAGTACAAGGAGGGTGGCCTCCCGAGCGCTCTGGGACAGGCCCAGGGACGCCCCTGCCCCGCACTGGCTCCAGCTCCTCTGGATGTCCCATGTCCATGCCCCGTGTCCCATGGCCTGGGTTCTGTGTCCCGTGTCTGCACTGATCCTGGCAGGTCTATGTCTCCTGTGGCCGACCTCACACCACAACCCACTCTGCCTTCACAGTCACCTCCTGTGGCCCTGAGACCACAAGCTGCATTTCCTCCATTGATGAACGTACTCTCTAGCCATCACCCACTTTTCTGACCCAGAAGGGGTTGTGCTGCCAACCTCTTTCTCGTCTTGGTTTCTTGGCACCAGTAACGGCCTTGTGGGGGGTGCTACTGCCAGAGGACAAGCCGTGTCCCTTCCTGGAGACAAACCCCAAAGCACACTGAGCTGACCCCTGGCTTTGGGGCTCACCAGGGCCTGGCTGGAGATGGGCCAGCCTCTTGACCCCTCCCGGGCTCTGGGTCTCTTGCAAGTGCTCACACCTCTGAAGGCGCTGGGTGACTTCTTCGCTGCCTAGTGCGTGTGCACACAGCACTTATGGGCCAGACCCAGCAGGTGGAGCCATGAAGGAGAGTGAGCCCTGCCCCTTGTGGAAGGGACACTGTGCGGGAGATGGACCATGAGCCATGAGCATGGCGTTAGATGCCACGTGGAGGGAAGAGCCCTGAGACACGTGGGGAGAGGGGTTGCTTTGGAGGCTTCTTCCTGAAATGAGGGAAAGAGGGCACCCTTTGCTGGCCTCTGGCCAGAAACAGGTGGGTATCCCACGAGCAGGTGCAGGCAGCCTTATAAGGAGCTTACAAGTGACCTGCAGCACCCCGGGGTTGACAGGAGCTAGAAGCCCCAAGCAAAGTGAGAGCCGCCAAAGGAAGGGTCATTGCCAGCCCCAGGACGGGCCTCGGCCCTCAGGAGCAGGACGGGCTCTGCGGAGCGCAGCACACCAGGACCTCAGCCTCACCTTGGCTTCCCCAGGGCACCAGGAAGTCCAGGCCCCCGCCACAGAGCGATGACCATGACCGCGTACAAGAGAGGAGGAGAGAAGGGAGAAAGCCCCTTCTGTGGAAGCCACGGGCTCCACGTCTGCTCTGAGCTGAGTGCCGGCAGATGCGCCAGGGCCTCCCTCCTGCTCCTTCCCCGTGTCCCCTCTCCGCCCGCCTGGATCTCCTTCCCACAGTGTCACAGTCCCGGGTGGCTGTCCTAGATAGGTGTCTCCACCTGCTGTTGTCAACTAAAAACAAAGAAAGTCAACACTGTGGAGCAGAATGAAAAGAAAAGGTATTTTAATCAGGATCTTAGAAATGGCGATTTTGGAGAGGGGATCAGTGAGCAGCTAAACTGAGTTCCGTCCAGTTGCGGTTGGGCTGGGCTGAGGTGGGTTTTCCGTGCGCCTGCACATCTGGAAGGTGTCAGCACAGCCACGACTGATGGTGGCGGGTAAGCAGCTTGCGGTGGTCCTGGCGGACGGCCAGCCTACTCCGTGCGACTGTCTCTCCAAGAGGTTGGTGATCAGGCCCGGTGCAGAGCTGGAACCCGGTGCAGCTGTTCTTAGGATCTGGTTTCACAGATCGAGTTCCATGGGTGTGCACGGGACCAGGGTCCACCCCCGCCTGTCCTCCCGGCCCCTTTGTAGTGTGAACCCCGAAGATTCGAGACAGGTCCCAGTTAATTTAGAAGGTTTATTTTGCCAGGGTTGAGGACGCGCCGGTGACACAGCCTCAGGAAGTCCTGACGACATTTGCCAAGGTGGTCGGGGCGCAGCTTGGCTCTATACATTCTAAGGAGACGTGAGACATCAAGCAATGCACGTAAGAAGTACGTCCGTTCCATCTGGGATGGCACGCAGCCAAGGCAGGAAGACCCGGGGCGGGAGGAGGCTTCCAGGCTGCAGTAGGTGAGAGCCAGGGTTGCACTCCTGAGTTGCTGATTAGCCCTCCCAAAGGAGGCAGGCAGTTACACGCCTATGTCCTTGAGCAGGCGCCCTGCGGAGTTCTCAGCTCACCTTTTCCCTTCAGCTCAGTGTTTCGGGCCAAGGTTTCTCTCCATTCACAGTAGAGCCTCTGACGTAACCACTGCATGGTGGGTTTCTTTTCCCACCGTCGCCCAGGACTGTTGGACAGAGGAGTGTGGGAGAGGGTGTCCCAGTGGGGCCCTCTTGACCCTGTGTGAGCTTCAGCCCCCTGTCCTTATGGGTGTTAGGAAATACCCCAGCTTGGACAGTGACACCTTTGTCTATCTGTCTTGAGGAGCCCCAAATAGCCACGGGTGGTCTCCGTGCCAAGTTGAATGAAAGGGGGCATGACCAACATGCGTCTTGACTCCCAATCCCACCCAGCCCCAGGCCTCAGCGACCCCGGGGAGGACAGGCAGCCCCACCTCCGCCCCAGGCTCTGCACGCTCACCTGCACGCACTGGCTGTTGGCTGCTGGCTCAAGACATGTCCTGCCCCTGAAGGCAGCGCCTGTCAGCAGTGCCTCGTCGCGGGCACCGCGCAGTCTAAGCAGGCCTCTTTTCTACGGCAGAAGCCTCCTCAGAGCAGACATTTGGGAAGGCCCCTGGAGTCCGAGCCCAGGCACAGTTGCTGCTGAGCCAAAAAGGGGGAGCTCGAGGAGGGTCGCAGGGTGGGCGCCATGGCAACGCGTGGGGCGGGTTGAGACAAGCAGAGACAAACTGGGGAGTTCTAGAACTTTCCAGCAGAGCTGGCAGACCCACCAAGCATGCAGCCAGTTGTGGGAGGATGGCTCTTAGCCTCCTCTACCGTGAAAGGCCTAAATTCGCCCCGCGGCTGTCAGGTTCCGCAGGAGAACGACGTGGGACGAGGTATCAGAACTGGCAGAGAGGTCAGACGACTTGCTGGGCACAGATCAGCACACACAAATCAATTGCATTTCTGCATGCCAGCCACTAACAATGAACGAAATGAAACATTTTTAATGTATGGAAACCATAGATGCACGACATTATGAATATCAAATACCCAGGGGAAGACGTAAAGGAACCACCCCACCAAAAACGTCGCTGCCCTTATGGTAAGATCTAAGTCAGTGAAGACATCCGTCACAGTCACGCTCACGGGTTAAAAGACTTTCCTCTTGATTTGTTCGATTTTTTTATTCATTTTTTTGAGACAGAGTCTCACTCTGTTGCCCAAGCTGGAGTGCAGTGGTGTGACCTCAGCTCACTGCAACCTCCACATCCCATATTCAAGTCATTCTCCTGTCTCAGCCTCACAAGTAGCTGGGCTTACAGGTGCGCGCCGCCACACCCAGCTAATTATTGCATTTTTAGTAGAGACGGGGTTTCAGCATGCTGGCCAGGCTGGTCTCAAACTCCTGACCTCAGGCGATCCGCCCGCCTCGGCCTCCCACAGTGCCGGATTCCAGGCGTGAGCCACGCGCCCGGCCGAGACCTTGCTTCTTTAAAGCATTATTTCTCTCTGGACTGTTCTTTTTTTCTCTTTTTTTGTTTTTTAGAATAATACAGTCTCAGCTGTTTTAAGTATATGGGATCGACAGTACAAATAGAGCAATTACAGCACTCAAATCTTAGTATCATGCATATTTAATATATCCAATATACACAACAATGAAGTCATTTTCTACTTTGCAAACTTTGTAAAAGTAGTTTTCATTTGAGCAAAGACAAAGCTCATATGAGCCTACAGTAAGTTTTAGTACTCTGTTCACACGCCAAGGGACAAGGCTGGTCAATAAAGTCATCTTTTAAAAATGTCTGTGAACCAGTACAATTTTCTTTTCTAGTTTTGCAGGGCAATGGCTACCAAGGGATATTTAAAGGCCAAAGAGAATCCAGCAACAATGAATTAAATAACAAGACTAAGAGAAAAACAAATGGTTCAACAGTAACAATTCAGTGCACTGCGGGCACAATCAAATCAGCGGAAACACCCTGAAAGCACAAATATTAAATGCAGTACAATGCTGGATTGTATCTAATCAGACCAGACGTCTGAGGCTTTATGCAAACAGTTTCTTCTCTCTTACACAGGACTTGAAAGCAAATCCAAACACATACTGTAACTCAGTGCTTCGGAAAACGTATCCACTGCAGAAATGCCCACAGTTAGCAATGCTATCCGGCAGCATGGTGACGTGAAGTATAAAACAGGGAACTAGGTAATTTTTATGTCAAAGCTGAAGCAAAATGCAGAACGGTGAGCTCATTGCTTTATGAATCTCTTATAACTAGGAAGTGCCGCCTTCAGAATGTTCATTCTGTGTTTGTTTTTTGTTGCCTGCTACTCGCCGTGTGCTGAGCTAGGTGCCATATGAACACTGAAGAATAAAACAAAAAAGGTTCTCTGCAAAGGAAACAGCATTGGCCCAGGAAGTACTCAGTATATCCCCACAAATTTAATCAAATACGGTTTTTGAAACTAAAGAGAAAATTTTTTCCAAACAGGTGACTGTCTAAGTGCACGTATACCGGCAGTCAATTTCAGGGGACCGTGGATATTTAGAAACATAAGACTGCCAATTGACTTTTTCAGTCGATGTTATACTTAATTATCTCATCATCTGCACTTCCTGGGTGCTTTTCCTAAAAAGTACATTCTTACATGTCAGGGTCGGACTGGCAGACCCCCAACCCCACGATGGATGAATACATTCACTTAGACACAGAATACAGTGGAAGAGCGGGCTGGGGTGGCCGTGACCACTCACCCGAAGGCGTTAACAGCTGCCGGCCTTGATGCCATGGCCAGTACTGTGGCTTTGTGTGTCTCAGGTCCCACCAGCTGACATGCTCCTATAAGCCCCCCACTGCGGGTGCCTTTCCTCTGATTGCCTGCATTGCTTGCTGGCAATCCACCTTAGCTTTTTCATAAGCCAATTGCAACAGTAAGATACCAGCAGCCTGGGTGTGGCTAATCTGTCTCTTAATTGCCTGGGTTAATGAACTTGACAAACGGCTCCTGAGGCCCTTGTGGAACATTTACAAAAGATCCCTGCTGACCTCCGCTTTTGGGAATTCAGTCCCAAGCCCTGAGAGCACACAAAGACACTTGAGCAAAGGCCTGGGGTCAGAATCTAGTAGTTGCTGCCCAGGGACGTGGGGGCCCCTCTCCCGGAGCAGCTGTTCTGTCTTGCCCAGCTGCCTGATTCTGGGTGGCTTGTTGTTCGCACAACTCATCACATTCTGCCTTCCAGAGGAGGTGCGGCCTGGGCTCCAAAGTGGCTTTAGCACTGACCAGTCCCATGGTGTCATGTGGAAGCTGTCTGCCAAGGCTTCGATCATTGCTTTTGTAAATGGGCTAATGGCTCCATTTTCTTTAATGCATTTTCTCGTTCTTTATGAGCGTTAAAGGAAATGGGTTCATGTGCGGGATTGCCCTGTCCATCTTGCATTACCGGGCAGGCTTAGAGTCCCCTTTCTAACACCGCGTGCCTGAGGCAGGGGCCCGTAGCTGCAGTGCCTCCCTCGTCCTTTTTCTATTTATTGGAGGAGGGGGCTCTGGCGAAAACTTCACTTCCTCCTTGCTATTTTGGCCCAGTGACAACGGGGCTGAGGGCCTCTGGGGTGGTCAGGTAGGTGTCCATTCTCCCTCCTTCCCCTTCTTAGGCTCTTCTGTGTATCATGGGACTGGAGCCACCCTCACTAAAACCCACAGCGTTAAAGATGATAATGGGTCCCATTGCCCTTGTGCGTAATTTTGCTTGAGAGCTCTTCCCACCCATCGCCAGAGCTCTAGGGCTAGCATGCCTTCTGCTGGGAACTGTGGATTAAGTGAAGCAACAATTTGCATTAGGTCCCTAATTGAGCCTATGAAACCGAGGCTCCCCTAGCTTTAAGCAGCTGTTTCAGTACTTCTATATACTGCCTTTGTGGTGCTGATAACTGCTGTCCCATGATGAGGCCTTCACCTGAACAATCCCTCCAAACTTGGATATCCCAAACAGCCTCCAGTGACTTCCTGACTACACAGTCACGTTTTCCTTTGTTTTCAGAGGTTCTGTCATGATTCGTCACAGCAAAGCCTCAGAGGGGACACCACTGACGAGTTTCCTCACATGGGGCACCCCGACCCCACAGCAGATGAATAAATTCACTCAGGCATAGAATACCATGAGAGAGTGGGCTGGGGTGTCTGTGGCCACTCACAGACACTCGAGGCGAGTGCTGTAAAGAGTTAGCAGCCACCGGCCCTGACTCTGTGGCCTTTATTCAGCACACATTAAATGACAAAAGCTCTGAGTCCACACCACTTGAGCGTAAAGATTAAAGGCCAGGTTCTGAGGCCTAAATCAAACACCATTTGTGGGTGATAAATCTGGCTGCCCTCCCCCCGAAAAAGCCATCCAATTCACAAAAGATTAAAGGTTAGTTTTTAGGACCCCATGAGTAAACAAGCTATTTAGATAAATTCCCTTACATTCCTTTGTTATTTGCTTTTCTTTATCAACTAAAAGTAAAGGGGATCAGGCTATCTTTAGCCTTAATTCTACCCTGAGGCTTTTACAAAACATTACATACCTTCCAGGAAGCTCTGTGACTATTTTCGATAACTTTCTCTAATATTTTCCCCTTAATATATTTGCCAGCACCCTGACCAAACTACCATATTTACATGCAAAAACTTTTAAACCAGTGAAACAAACATTATATCTAACCTTGCAAACCTAGTCTTAGTAAGATATACAACAAGTTCTAAATTTTTATCTGGACAAAGACAGTGTAAACCAAGCATATCAAATATTTGAAACACAACCATCAGTGAGTCAGTCAATATGGGGTGACGTGACTATGACTGACTATGAAGCTGTTGTAGTTCATCTTCATCATCTTGTTGAAAAGGAACTACCGGGGCCGGGCATAGTGACTCATGCCTGTAATCCTAGCATTTTGAGAAGCTGAGGTAGGTGGATCACCTGAATTCAGGAGTTTGAGACCAGCCTGCCCAACATGGCGAAACCCCATCTCTACTAAAAATACAAAAATTAACTGGATGTGATGGTCCAAAGCCTATAATCCCAACTACTCAGCACTCCAGAGGCTGAGGCAGGAGAATTGCTTGAACCCAGGAGGCAGAGGTTGCAGTGAGCCAAGATGGTACCATTGCACTCCAGCCTGGTCAACAGGCACTGCCTGAATTTCTTTGGCTATCCTCTCTGCTAATGCTCTATTATTTGCAACAATTAGAGTCCAAATGGTATTCATGCCATCACATCAAATGGTCACCTGTAACAGCCATTAGCACTCTACCAGCTTCAGTAACGATGCCAGCTCCTGAGATGCCTCAGCCATGAATTCTCATTTTATAATCTGCATCTGTTCCTCCAGTTACCACCAGGCACATGTTAACAGCTGCTGTTCCAACACTCCAGATCCCGTGAACAGGAATTGCAGAAAAGCTGTTCCGTATCAGAAATGTTAGAAGTAAAAGTTCGGTGTTGCAAAGAAAACAAACACTCAGACAAAGAAGTTCTCAGCAAGGCAATGTTGACTTCTGCAGAAGGGTGCTGCTCACAAGCCTGCTTGCCACAAGGCCACCCCGAAGAAGAGGATGGTTTTTTATCCCGAACGCGTGAGGCTTCTACCACTGTGTCCAGTCTCTGTTGGCTGGAGCTAGACCCCACAGTCTAAGCTAAACCCAATCGGCTACCTAAATAGGTAGAGGCATGGATAACAAAGAAGGGAAGAATTGGCTTGCATGGCTTGCAAAAAAAGGCTAGGAAAGCAATAACATGTACAAATAACAAAAGGCATATATGCTGTAAGCTGAGACATGTCTGGGCATGTCCAGGCCTGCCCTGGCAGATCAGGGAACAAGTGGGTTAGGCCTTTTCAACATCAAAGAACAGGGAGACACAGCATGCTTTATTTGAGGAAGAACTTCACTGTATCTATCAGGAAAGAACAATTCTTACAGTCTCTGGCATTCC